TATCAATACACTGTAATTCTACTGTTCATCTCTTTGGTTTTCACATACTTTAAAGAAGCTGTTCCAAATCTTTCCCTCAATTTCTCAACCCCACTCCCAACTTCTCTTGCTTCTTATTTGTGAGAAAAGTGAAGTCATTCACTTTCAGCTCATTCATCTTCAATCCTCTATACCAGAGGTATCAGGTGCAATCAGTTTGCAAAAACTTCTGAGCACACCAGAACCAGGTTAACATATAATTGGGAAATGCTTAACAAAATGAATGTAACAATGCATCATATAATATTAATTTGTAGTTTTCTAAGTCAATATGTACTGCAGGGATCCCTTTATGCATGATACCAATGCTGCACATATCAAAAGATCTGTGTTCACCCATCCTCTTACAATTCTCTCTAATTTCAGAGGATCAAGTCCAATTTCTTATCAGGACTAGACCCTCTACTTGTGCTGTGAATCTCAGTGTCTCCAAAACCTTGCTTCACTGATCATGCCTTTTTTTCTCATACCCTGGATGTTGCAACGCCTAAGGAAGAGACTGACTGAAATCTTAACCTGGCATCTAGGATCCAGAACAAAAGGATATGGGTTTTATTGTCCCCATTAATTATCATGTGACAAATTCTGAATTTAATGGGGAAAAATGATTGTGAAGTTCTTGGGGATACAACCTTACGAATCCCTGATTTAGGCATCCCCTCTGTTTTATGGCTAGTAGCAGTGCTCAAGGGGTATTGGTGTGTTTGCTTTTTTTCAGCTGTCTGGAGCAACTCCTCTAAGCTGCTTCACTAAAACACCCCTAGCTCTGAAAATTTTGCTCACTTGGATTTTTACATTATTCTTTTTGATCATGGTGGCACTGACATTGGAAGAAAAAGCACTATGGAACTGGTTCCTTATATTCACACTGGTCTGGGTATTTGTTATAATCCTCCTTGTGATACTGATTTTTAAAATGACTATACAACACAGGCCTGGTTATATCCATTGGAATGAACTGTGACATATGAAAAGGAAGTCCTAGTACTTTATAGCAACGTTCCTAAAATGAAGTAATTTACTAACATGAAATCATTCCATTACCGGTTGGGACTATTACATAACTTGGACAGAATGTCTGTTTTTGCTTGAGGAGGCTAAATGATTGTGATTTTTCAATAATAGCTTATTAAGCGACAGCAAAATATTCTGAATCTCTACAACCTTCATGGATATTAAGCAACTGAAAACCATGCCAAATGTAGTATTAAATTGTTTCAGTTAGTGTTAGAGCAAGTAAATTATTCCAGGACTTCAAGAAATAGCATGGAAAATATTTAGTCTATATTTGAGTTTATTCGTCTTCTTATCCCTTATTACATAAATAAAATTTTTGTTTTAAGCCGCAAAAAAGATGGATAAAAAGTAAACTCTATTAAACACTAAAATTAAATTAACTCTAATGCCATCTAAATTGTTTGTAGTAAGAAAAGAAGATACTTTTCCAATCTCTTTCTACAACAAAAAATGGTCTTGATACCTAAATAAGAGACAAAGCAGAAAAAGAAAACTACAGACTCATATTCCTAATGAACACTGACATAAAACTTTAAATGAAGTATTAGTAAGTAGCTTAAAACAAATTATTAGAAAGATCATATACTATGACCAGATTGGGTTTATTCCAGAAATGCAAGAATGATCCATAGGAACAAAAGGACTGCATAGTAAATAGTATTTATCTAGATCTAAGAGCAAACACTATATTCAATGGAAAAAAGTTAGAGGCCTTTCCAGTAAGATCAAGGGTAAAGCAAGTATGCCTATTATCTAAACGATTACTATTTAACTACTTAGTGCAATAAATACTAGCTATATCAATAAGGCAAGAAAAAGAAATTGAAGGAATGAGCATAGACAAAGAGTCAACAAAATGAATGCTTCCTGCAGATGATACGATGGTGTGCTTAGAGAATTCTAGAGAGTAAATTAAAAATTAAATGAAATAGTAACATCAGCAAGGTTGCAGGATATAAGGCAAATACACATAAATTGTCAGCTTTCTCATATATAACTAACAAAAGAGGGCAGCTAGGCGGCTCAGAATGTAGAGTGTTGGACCTGGAGTCAGGAAGACCCACCTTCCTGAGTTCAAATCTGGCCTCTGACACTTACTGTGTGACCCTAGGCAAGTCACTTAACCCTGTTTGCCTCAGTTTCCTCATCTATAAAATGAGCTGGAGAAGGAAATGGCAAACCACTCCAGTATCTTTGCCAACAAAACCCCCAATGGGGTTGGACATGACTGAAAAACAACTGAACAACAACAACCAACAAAACACAGTAAAAAGAGGTAGAAAGAGAAACTCCATTCAAAATAATTACAGAAGTTATACTTAGGAATGTATTAATCACTAAAATGATTTTTTACTGGTTTTACAAAAAAAAAGTCAACTGATAGAGTAGACACAATAGTAGAGTGTTTAATAAAATTCCTTAACTCCAGCTACTGTGGGCAAGGACTCAATAATTGACAAAAACTGCTGGGAAAACTGGATAGTAGCCTGGAAGAAATTAAGTTTTTTCCTTACTTTCAATCTCTCCTGTTCCCATGGTCCTTTTACCCTTTGATAAAAACATGTTCAGTTTCCCCTTATCATAAGATGACACAAAATCCATTCCTTGACCCTGCAATGTCCTTAAACTAACAACATCTCCTTGTCCCTTCTACTTCTAAACTTCTAGCTGCTTCTACTCCCTCATCACCCTATCATTCTACTGAAATGCAGAAAGACCTCTTAATTACCAAATTCAATGGTCTTTTCTTAGTTCTCAACTTCCTTTATCTTTCTGTTGCATTTGATACCGCTAACCACTTCCTCCTGTTTTATTATATTTTCTCCTGGTTTCTGTGATATAGTTCTTTTCTGGTTTCCTTAACCAAATCATCAACCACTATCAACAAAATTTTATTATGTGACTGTGTGGAAGTATCATTTTAGGTGCTGGAGGAATCATAAATTGGATAAGATAAGAGACCTTTCACTTTATGTCTAGATGGTACCAAGATAAGATACCAAGCAACAGAAATCAGTATAATATAAAATATTACAAGATAAATGTATTAAATGGTACAGAACAATGTGCCATGTGAGGTCTATAGGGAAATATAATTAACAAATGGGGAGCTGGAGGCAGCAAAGTCTTTTTAGAGGACTAGGGAAAGAAAGTTGTTGAATTAGTAAGGAGTAAGGAGAGTAAGGAGAGTAAGAAGGGGTAGCAGGTAACATGACACAAAGACAAAAAGTCAAGGCAGTTCAAAATTGTGGATGCCCTTGGCAAATGGCAAAATTCTGAGCTTGATTTGGTCAAGAAGATGAAACAGGTAAAGATATCTCAGTACAGCAATGATATGACTAGGTCTACACATAAGATTATTTGAGTGGAGACAAGAAGACATGTAAAAATGTGTGTGGTGGAGGGGAGTAAGTGGGGGCACTGAACGAAGGTAGGACAATAGGAATAGAAAAGAGGTAATGGATGCAAAACATTTTCAGGTAAAATTAACAGATTTGGGTACCATCTCACATATCAGATTGGCTAATATGACAGAAAAGAAAAATGATACATATTGGAGAAGATATGGGGAAAATGGGACACTAATGCATTGTTGATGGAGTTGTGAACTGATCTGACCTTTCTGGAGAGCAATCTGGAATTATCCCCAAAGGGCTATCAAAACTGTGCATACCCTTTGATCCAGCAATACCACTACTAGGTCTGTAGCTCAAAGAGATCATAAAAAAGGGAAAAGGACCTACATGTACAAAAATATTTACTGCAGCTCTTTTTGTGGTGGCAAAGATTTGGAAATTGAAGGGATGCCCATCAACTGGGGAATGGCTGAAGAAGTTGTGGTTATGAATGTAATGGAATTCTATTATGCTATAAGAAATAATGAGCAGGCAGATTTCAGAAAAAAATTAGAAAGACTTATATGAACTGATGCTGAGTAAAGTTAGTAGAACCAGGAGAACACTGTATACAGTAACAGCAACATTACTGTAATGTAACACAACGATCCAAGATAATTCCAAAAGACTCATGATGGAAAATACTATCCATATCCAGAGAAAGAACTATGGAGTCTGAATGCAGATCAAAGCATATTGTTTTCACTTGTTTTTGTTTTTTTCCCTTTTTCATGGCTTTTCCCTTTTGTTCTGATTCTTCTTTTACAACACGACTAATGTGGAAATATATTCAACATGATTGCATACGCATAACATATCAGATTGCTTGCCTTCTTGGGGAAGGAGAAGGGAAAAAATTTGAAACTCAAAATCTTGTAAAACATTGGGGCAGCTAGGTGGCACAGTGGATAAAGCACTGGCCCCAGAGTCAGGAGGATCTGAGTTCAAATCCAATCTCAGACCAGACACTTGACATTGATACTTACTAGCTGTGTGACCCTGGGCAAGTCATTTAACCCCAACTGTCTCACTCCAAAAAAAAAAAACCCAATCTTATAAAAAATAAGTGTTGAAAATTATCTTTACATGTAATTGGAAAAATAAAAACTATTTATATAAAAAAGAAATCATTGGCTTTGTTAACTGATCAAATATAAAGTGAAGGAAAAGGATAAGTCAAAGATAATCACGAGAATAATTAATTGAGTCATGGCTCATGACAAATAATAACTTAGGCCATTTATTTACTAATTGTATGTTAGGTACAGGGAAGGCAGATTAGTTTAAAAAATTATTTGCAATATTGAATTAATTTAATCCTTTATGTGAGTCCTGTTGTTACATAAGAAATAATTTCTGCCTAATATTATTAAAGTCTTTTTTTCTATCCATTTACTTACAAAAAGTAACAAGACCTAAAATGCTGCTAATTTCTCATTTCAATTACTTCACTAAATCAAAAAAAAAAGTCTTTGTCTTTTATGTCATAATTCTGTGTCCAAATCTTTTACAAATCTGTTTTATTTATTTTTCCAGTTTAATTTTTACCTCTATACTGAAGTAACCTCTGTCCACATAGTCTCCCAGGAAGAGGTAGCGTGTGTTAGCAGGTGATCCCCCAACTTCAAACAATTTCATCAAGTCAAAGAATTGCCCATGAATGTCACCACACACTAGATAAAAGAAGAGAGCATACAGGGAATAATATTTACAATTTCAGAAGAAAAAAGTTATTATAACAAGAGGAATTATTATTATGACCAGTATTTTACAAAATTATATTCAATTTGGCATAGTGAAATGCTCTTCTATAGATATTTCAGACTTTTTTTAATGAACAAGAAAATACTGTAGTAATGCTAACAATATTTCACCATACCAAAACAATTAGCATAGCATATTTCTTCTACAACAATACCCAATACTTGTATTAGTGCTTTAAAATTGCCCCATATATGTCATCATGGAAGTGCTTCTCAGACCTGTGATAGGTGCCTCCAATTCTATCATAGTCTTTTCATTTTTCAGAATGGCAGCTCCATCATTGATTATCTTTAAGGCTGCATCCTCTTCTAGTCTACCTTCCTTCACCAAATGGCTTTTCAAGATATCAAGTCTAGGTTTTCCATCTTCAAATACTTCTTTTATTGTGAGCCTATGAGTTGGAGGAAAAGGAACAGCTAGAAACAGACAAAAGAATAAAAATACTTATGTTTAGAGAATGTGTCAATATTATAATTACAAATGTATGCTCTCTGTGGTATTTAACACAGTGCTGATTCTATATCCATAACACTAAAATTGTATAATGAAAAATTTCTGTGTATTAAGATCCTGTGTATTAAATCTTACCATTTATTGTTTTTGAGAAAGGCTGCAGGTAAATCCAAAGCCAGTTTTGAAACAACTTATTACAAAAGTAATATGCCTCATATTTGGTCATAAAAGATTTTTACCTAGCATACAGTAGGCAACTAAAATGTTTTCTGAATTTGAAGCTGATTTAAACAAGTAAAATATAAGAAGACTTTCCTACATAGATGCATCTTTAGCTGAAAAGAGAAATATAATCCAAAAACAAGAAATATTTACTAAGTGCCCACTATGTTCAAGGCACTGATTGTGCTTTATGTTCTGCAGAAAAAGCATAAAAAACAAAACAGTCAAGGAATTTACATTCTACCAAGGGATTAGAAAAAGCGACTTCAAACTATAAAATTCTTCATTTAAGAAGATTAAAAAAGGGGCAGCTAGGTGGCACAGTGGATAGAGCACCAGCCCTGAAGTCAGGAGGACCTGAGTTCAAATCCGGCCTCAGACCAAACACTAGATACTTACTAGCTGTGTAACCCTGGGCAAATCACTTAACCCCAATTGCCTAAAAATTAAAAAAAAAAGATTAAAAACGAAAAGTTTCAATGCTCAAAGATGATGTCCATAGAGCTGTCCCAATGAAATCATATGCTTGCACAATTCCGTTCAATTTAGTTTAGTAGGCAGAGCAATGGATCTAGAGTCAAAGGACACTGGTCATTTACTATGCCATTTACTAACTTTGGACAGCTAAAATAAGACAATTAGACTACATAAGTACTAAAGTCCTTTCCAGACTGAAAATCCTATGATGCCATAAATTCTAGGGCAAGTGGACAAAGTATAAAATTACATAACATACATTTTATTTATTTTAACAAGCATTATTAAACACTTATGTTCAAGTTACTACCCTACGCCTAAAAAGATTACAGAGTTCTCTGGAGAGTGGTGTATTTTATTATTATCAAGAATATCACTGATCTGGTGGTATAAATTGTTGTTCCAATAAACATAAGCTTGAAAAGAGTAAATATAAAAGGGATAGCTCTGTTTCTTAAGGACCAAGCATGCCAAAGAGAGAGGTTTCATATTTAATCATCCCTTTTCCATCTTGTTGCCCACTTTGACTTTGGCAGATCTGAGAGGCAACTCAACCCCTCTCTGATCATACAACTGAAAAGTGGACAATTTGTCTCAATTATATGTGTGAAGTGAAGGATTTATGACAGTACAATTAATAAATAATCTTGCTAGGAAAAACATTTAACATTCTAAAATTAAATAGTTTAATTTAATGTCAAATATACTGACAAATACAGCCTACTTTATTTCATATTCCTTAAGTGACAACCTCAAAGTCACAAGTTTCCCCCCCCCCCAAAAAAGGATCTCAACTAAATACAAGTATCTTTAAAGTGATACTTCCTGTACTATGAAAGGGTTAAGAGAGACCCAAATAGGTAGCAGGAATAAAATGGCTTATTCTAGTCATATTTTGCATGATTTTAGAAGTTCAAAATACTTTCCTTATGACAAGCTTCCTCACGAATTCCATTCCTTAACTACTAAGAAACTACTGTAGAAATTACAGTAGCTATTAAAACGGTAAAATAAGAGAGCACCACTTTGTATAGATGTCAAAATTCTTAGTCTTGGATTTACATTACTCCACTAACATCCTCCCCATCTTCAAGGTCTCATCATGGTAAAGAATGAGTGCTCAAAGGCTTCATCACAGAGTAAAAAGATCTAACAAGTCCTACTAAGCTAGAAAGCCTTCAAGTAAAGGTTCAGTGATGGACTGATTATATGCATGTTGTCCAAGAACTTGCCACGTTAAACCCTCATCCCAGGTAGGCTTCAAGGTGAGGAAATTTTCAACAACAGAAACTATTGCAGAGTATCTACCAACAGTTGTAGAGGGGTAGCAATGTATTTTTGTAGAGAGAGTAATCACACCAAGGAAATAATGGATCTTTGCAGTCATGAAGTGCTATTTTCACAATCCAGACAGACAAGCAAAATTTCATTTAAAATGACAATTCAATTAAAAAACAAACAAAAGAGTGGCTAATATTTTACTTAGCTGATGAATTTCTACTGTAGCAGGAAGAGATCGACAATGAAAAGTCAAGAATAAATTTGCTCAAAATGTATCTAAACTGGGAGAACATGGTCTGGTCTGTCTTCACAAAAGGTTACACAAAGAAATGAGGACAGTGAACCTTGGCTGCAGAAGGGCCACAAAGCAGGGGAAAGTAAAGTGTCTCAAGGGACAAAGGAGAAACACAAGTCACCTAAACAAGATTTCTTGAGGCTGTCTTCCTAGAAAATCACCAGTCTCTTATGATAAAAGACCCAAAGAACAAAGTGAAGTTTCATACTTAATCTCTCTTTTATGTCTCGTTACCTATCTCAACTTAGTCGAATCCAAATCAAATCACCCCATCTTTCTCCTCTGATAATCAAGAAATGGACAAGTTACCTATGGAAAGCCTAAATTACAGCCTGTCCTATTTTAAAATTTTTATTTCTCAAAGTGATATCTAAAATTGAGGTAGAACTTGAAGTTTTGAGATGAAGACGCTATGGCAAAGAACAGGTGGTCCTCTTGTAAAAATGTGTTAATAATAATAAATGTATTATAATAATGTGTGTTAATACTTTAACCTATTTTTGTCATTGTTTATTCCAATATTTTTTGAAAAATATAAAGTTTCATTGATGAGATATTTGTTCCATCATAACCCAGCTGTACTTTGTGGTTGGGTTTTTTGTTATTGTTGTTGTTTGAGTTGCTATGGATAAAACATTACTACCTGGCAGCCAACTTTTCAGTGTTCTGCTGGAATAAATCCTATGTTTTTGCTAACCTCTAAGGTAAGAGAACAGAGGAGAAACTCTTCCTTCCCTGAATGAGATATTGTCAGACAGAAAGTAAGCAAAATTCAGATTTCTCACCTAACATGAAAAGTAATCTAAGTGGAAGCGATCTGAAGATAAAGAAAATCAGAATGGGTAATTTACACTGTTTAACTTTACTCTTTCTCCAGTTATCTAGTAGCAATTATTTCTTTTCTTCCTTGCTTTCTTTCTTAAATAGGACAAAAGAAAGCAAGTAAAAGTAAGTCTAAACTAGGTTAGGGTTAGGGGAGGTGAGAGAAACAGGACAAGGACAAACCAGAAACAATAAATGGAGTTAAGTTGAATAGGAGGTACAGTGGTTAATACAGGATCTATGGCATAAGTCTCCTAGGGCAGATGTGCCAAAAATAGAATATCATTATTAGACCAAGCCAAGTAGGATCTCTCGACTTCAGATTGGCAAGAAGGAATCTCTAAGCAGTCTCAGCAGTCTACGATATAACTGAAATCAGAAATAGGTCCCACACAGTTTATTAAAATTTGTTGATCAACAAGCATTTATTAAGCACCACCCATGCCCCCAAGCACTGTGCTAAGTGCTACAGCTTAAAAGGGCAAAAAATTAAACAAGTTTGGCTCTCTAGGAACTTTCAACAAATACACAAGGGACTTTCTGGATATCAAGGGAGACAGAAGGTAAGTCAAATATCTCGTGAAGCCAAGAAGTTGGGGGGGGGGGCGGAGAGTGAGGAGAAGAGAGGAAGAGGAAAACGATGCTAAGGAAGGAATATGCCATAACTAGCTTCCATTCCGAAACCCAAGATGTATAGGACCCTGCCTGGAGCCTTCTTGTTTGCCTCAGGATACAAAGAAAGTGGCAAACAGCAACAAAACAGCTGTAGTCATCTGCTATAACATGGAAATCCAAATCATCAAAACTACTAGCACACTTTCAAATCAAAACACATTTTAAGTATGCTGCTCTAAATTTTCTAAGCTATTATTCATGCTTTCATAAAATTTTTAGAATTTTATTTTTAATTTATGGAATAAAACAAGTATTTCTATAACACAGTACGATAAAAAGGCAATTGTACACAAACTACAAATCTGCTATGCCCAACTTGCTATTCCTTTCAAATATACAACAAAATTATCATGTAAATTTTTTTCTTCCCCCCTCCTCAGCCTAAAGATGGCTACCATTAGACACAAATAGGTATATATGTGTAAAATTATTCTTATACATACTTCTATTTATCCATTCTTTCTCTAGATGCAGATAATGTTTTTCCTTCCTATGTCCTTTATAGTTAATTTGGGTATTTATAATAAAAAATGATTTATTCACTCAAAGTGATTTTTTTTTTTTGTGAGGCAATCAGGGTTAAGTGACTTGCCCAGAGTCACACAGCTAATAAGTGTCAAGTGTCTGAGGCTGCATTTGATCTCAGGTCCCCCTGACTCCAGGGCCACTGCTCTATATCTACTGTGACATCTAGTTGCCCCCTCAAAGTCATTCTTAAAATAACATTGCTATTGGGGCAATTTGAACTCAATTTGAACTATTTGAACTCAGACCTGAGTTCAAATCCGGTCTCAGACACTTAATACTTCCTAGCTGTGTGACTCTGGGCAAGTCACTTAACCCCAACCTGCCTCACCTAGAAAAAAAAAAAGCCCAATATTGCTATTACTGTATACAGTGTTCTCTTGGTTCTGCTCGTTTCACTCTTCAATTTTGTGCAAATCTTTTCACGTTTTTCTAAAACCACTGAGCTCATTATAACACAGTAGTATTCCATCACAATCATACACCACAACTTGCTCAGCTATTCCCCAACTGATGGGCATCTTTTCAATTTCCAGTTCTTTGCTACCACAAAGAGAGGTGTTATAAATATTTTAGAACATACAGGTTCTTTTCCTTTTTCCCTAATCATCTTTGGAAATAGACCACATAGTGGTATTGCT